TGCATCTCACACGAATCTCTGGATGAGCAGGTGGTCCAGGGTTCGAGAACTGTGCCCCGAGTAAATAATAATAATGGAAATAAAAACAACAGGTCAGTTCACAGTGGCAATCAAGAAGGCAACAGCTGAATTGAATTATTTGTTTATGTCAGCGAAATGAAAGGTTTCCATGGGAGAATTAAGCAGAAAGAGCAAGTGAATGAAGGCAGGAATGTTTGCCTTGCAGCTTTCCTTTTGATTCACTTTTACTATATTTCCATTTATAAACTGAGTAAAAGATATAGAAATAGCCTGAGTTGAGTTGGAACTTTACCATTAATATTTTAAACCATACGTATTACAAACTATCGAAACTTAGAAGGATCGAATTTTCCAGCGGAAATCTGTCTTTGATGTGAACGAAACTGCGAATGATCAGGATGATATCTACATATGTATGTTGATCATCGCCCGAGTTCTATTGACGCCCACAGAGAAGAAAAACGAAAAAGAAATGGGGGAAAAACTAATTAAATCAAAGCAATTGCTAAAACGTACAGTTTAATTAAGCACATGAGACATAAGAGTGCAGCGCTAAATATTTCCTGCTGAGCGCGTTCTCGGGATTGCAAATCCAAATCGGAATCTAAGTCTTCAGTATATGTATATATAGAAATGTGGGTACCCAACCGTATAACCGTATAACCGTATAACCCGGTAACCGGGCACTTCTTACCCAGGTCGCTCCCAGCGGAATTTCTGGCTGAATCTCGGAATGATGATTGACGGCCATCATGTCGCGTAATCTTCTCTAGGCGGAGGATTATGGCGTCAATTGCTTTGCACTTGCTCCACAGACCCAGATTCTTAAGCTTGATGTCACTCGATGCACTTTCTACCCCTTCCTCCAAAATTTACAATTTTTGTTTTATTTCTGTTTTCTGTTATTTTGGAGGCGAGGAAGAGGAATTTGTCTGGCAATTACCTTGACGCTAGTTTTTAATCAAATTTTCGTATGTTTCAACCCTCAATTTCCTTTCCATTTCCCTCGCTTTTCCATCTACGCTTTCCCGCTGTCCACACACCGTCTCGCTTTTCAGTGATAATTGTGGCCAAAACACAAAGTTGGCCACATGTGTGCTTGGTAGACAGTGTCTGTTTCAGCCTAATTCTTGATACTCTTTGTGGCAGGGATGTACGTAGTCACTATGGATCAAAAAAATCAGAACCTTAATTTTTACTATCTATGTACTTATTGTAATGCCTTCGGTTTACGTAGAATATTTTAGGATGTCATACTATTGTGACTATTGGATTTTATTATCATATCATATCACATGGATACTGGATATTACAGAGATATATTTAATGCAATATTATAAGAAATGTTTTAATGATTTAATCTATAATTTTTTGACTCCCTGCTAACTAATACAATTTAAAAAGCCATTTAGTTCTTATAACCTTCTGGTAATGCATCCCGAATTCCATTTCTTTTTCGCCTGCGTCCTATCCTATGTTGATTTTGCTCTTTTTGTATTTTGTACCTTTGTGTGTTGGTTTTATTTTTGTGGTCTATTGTGGCCTGCGAGCTGAGAGTTTTTGGGCCTGCCACGCCCCCAGGACAGCCGCCCACCGTCTGGCGTGCCTTTTGGCCACAAATTGTGCGCAGTCAGTCAGTCAGTCAGTTAGTCAATAACTTTTTCTTTCGGTTTTCTGTCCTGTCCCTTCCCCCCGAAAAAAAAAAAGAAATGTATATACGATCGATTTAACGAGAATTGGCCGGCTGTCTGCTGCGATTTTTGAACATGATGAAAATAAATTGCCAGCACACATATGTGCGCCAAATTTATGACTGGCCCAAAAGGGGGGAGTGGCCCAGTCTCAATGTGTAATTTGTCTTGCAGGAAATGAGCCAGGGCAGAAATAAAAATCTAAAAAATCAAAAAATCTAAAAGAATGCCTTGTCCATTTGAGGGTTCAATGCACGCATACTGATTTTATTGGGCGTGGGTGGTAAAAATCACGACCTTCCGCCCCGAACTGACCCACTTGATGATAGAAAACCCCCATAACAACACACCACCCCACCACAACAAACACATGAGCAACAAGTTGAGACAATTGACAGTAGCCAGGCATTCTGTCTGCTTATTTTCCCTCATTTTCTTCGGCTTTCCCCGGCTCTGTTCCCCCCCTATTTTCACTTGCATAAATCTAGATACAGATGCAGATGCAGATGCAGATGCATTTCGCAAAAATGGGTTCAAGGACACTGCGTTGTCATCTAATTGGGCGGCCACATAAATTTAAACATTTCTCATTGTTTCCACGCCAGCGTATTTATTTATTTTCACCGCTAGCCGTTCGCACGTTGCGTATGCGTAATAATTCATTTCGACACTCATTTGAGATTGCAAATAACATTTACAGTGGTGGCAGCACAGTTTAGTGCTAAACTCTCTTAAAATACTTCATTTGAGAACACTCAATACCAAACTTTATAAATAAAAGCGAAGATTATAAGTTAAATAGATCACTGATCCTAGTTACTGGTTCCTAATATATCAAAAGCTAAGAATTAAAATGATAATAATTATTACAAATAAATCATTTGTAAAATGTACAAAGTTAAATTCAATATTTGAAGTTTCCCGAATTGTAATTACTTCCTTTTCTTGGGAATCCACTGTGCATTTAATACGTTGTGGGCGGACAGTTTGAAAGCCACTGCAGTGATCAGGCCATGCTGTTTTTTTGCATTAGCGAACAGCTCGAGTAATCACAATAAACGCTAGGAAAGGAATCTGTGTCAAGCATGCCGACTGTCCGTCCGCCGGAATCGAGGCTACAAACGGTCAGCAGATGGCACCTCATCAGAAAATAGGAAAGGAATCGGTTATAGATCGGTTAAAAATGATAAAACGCCTTGAAAAATGGCAAGGGATTATGGGATTCAATAAATTTGATAGAGCAATGTTTTAATTTCTTAGTTTAAAAAAGGGAACGTTGTTATACTTAAATTTTTGGCTCTTAAATATTTTATAGTTTACCAAATTTTTGGACTTCGCTTATAGTTTCATTTTATGCGCTTGGGTTTTTCCTATTATAGTAACCATTTAAGACAGAAACATTTACTCAATCCGCATTTGATGTTAATTATTAAGCTAATCGATTGGAGGCACTCTTTAACGTGATATCGATAGCTTAGACCTGATTTCGACAGCATTATTATGTGCAACACACACCGAGCAAGCACAAACTTGCCGAAAAACATGGGACAACTTCAAAGTCGTGGCACGTGACTATGCAGCCTCATAAGACAGCCGTTCAGCCGAAACCACACAAAACAAACCCACTTTCCACCCATCCACCCTCGATAAAGAAAATCAGACACGGCGCAGACAAGACGCAGACAACGCTTAAAACCCAAAGCAACAATCAAACCAAAACATTCCGGCGGAATTCGTCACTGAAGTTTGTTCAACTTTGATTTTAAAATCTTTGAAGTTTAAATATTATAAAGTATTAGTCAAAAGTTTACATTAATTAAAGATGAATATCTTTCTTAAATACTTTCTCAATTCGATTTATTCTAAAACGTTTTCCAGTTTTTAGTGTGCTAACAAATTAAAGAAGAGGAAGACACAGTACTCTCATCCATATGTTCTCACCTTTCTTCCCACCTCCAATTGCTATCTGCCATTCCTGTGTTTTCCATTATCTTTTTAGTTTATCGAAGTATTTCGATAAGAGGATAGAAGGTTCCCGGGGCAATGCACATTTGGCCCACATACCATTCATTACACTAACAGAAAGATATAAATGATGAAAATACTTGTCATATTGAAGTAAAACATATTAGATAGATATTTAAATAACTTTGTATAGAATATAGATGTATCATAACAAGTATTTGAAGTTAAACTATAGTTCGACTTGTGGTAAACATAGTTTTCAAAGTTCTTTATATAGTGCCTCTTAAAAATTTTAAAAATATAATTGTTTTCGTTTTGGTTTTACATACATATGATAGATTATTTTCTTTTGTGCATGGGAAACGTGGGAAGAGCGGAGCAGAAGAAAAGCTTTCCTTGGGCAAAAAGAGAGCATAGAACATCAATTTTGTGACCAGATATGATCGTTTGTCAGAGGGGATCGGGAAAGTTGAGGGGTGAGGGGTCGTCAAAAGAAGGCGGTGGCCAAGTGAAAAGGGGCGGGGCACTATTGTGTGTGTGTGGCACATGTTGAACATGCAGGGCAAGTGCTTTTAATCAGCCAAAGGCAACAATAAATATGACGTAGCACGCGTCTTTTCCTGACACTTCCACTCCAAAGAAAAATAGGTTGGGAAACTATAAAAAAAAAAAACTCTGGGCACGGGGTAAACCGAAAATAGTGCCAGAACCAATTACCGAAGAAAAAAATGAAAAGAAATTGACACTTGAAATCAATGCTCAATTAAAAAGTCGACCGAAATAGATCTGAAGTGGGTAAAAAAACAGGGGCGAGGGACTAGTGGGAATTGAAAAGAGATTTACAAGTGAGGGAAATGACAAAAAGAACATAACTTCTGAAATTCTTTATGGACTTACTGAAATTTAAGAGCTTATATGATACTATACATTAAACCAAATGTTTTTGTTGTAAGCCTTCGAAAAATATAATTTAGATAACAGAACTCCCAAAGATAAGCTCCAAATAATGTTAAGGCTAACAGCCATGTTATTTTCTGCAATTGTGGTGAGAATCTAGCCAAGACACAGTGCTTGTAAAACTGCAGCGCAGCACTTTATTACTTAGCAAAGTCAACAACCAAATGTAAAAGTTTCTCTGCTTTGAGAAGGAAACTATATATAAAATGCAATACTTAATTAAAGCTATTGGATAAAGGAGGGAAAAACTGCTCAGATTTGATAACAAGTTATTGCAGGGCTTCGCATTTCATAATTATAATTTTACAACTCTTGTGGTTCTTGCTTCGATACATTTATTAATATGGATTATTTCTATCATTTTAGCAAATTAAGAATATCGACGATGATGGGGACTTTGTACTGGCAGACGGACACTCACTGCAGGACAGTGGCGAGTTCGATGACGATGTCGCCTTCCTGCAGGCCGATAAGCTCTATACTCCCCTAGAGGATAAGGTGCCGGAGGAGGATGACTCGTCCTGGTTTAGCCAGAAGTTCCATCGCGTGCGCCGCTCCATAAACCGTTTCTTCGGCGCCGACGACGAGCAGGAGAAGGAACGTGAGTTGCAGCTGCAACGGCGACGTAATCGCGAGGCCCGCCAGAAGGAGCTTCGGCGCCAGCAGAAGGAGATTCAGAGCCGAGAGAAGCAGCTGCGAATGGAGCGCCAGCTGGAGAAGCAACGCCTGGCCAAACGGGCCAATCACGTCGTCTTCAATCGCCTCACCGATCCTCGCAAGCGGGCATCCGACCTTTACGACGAGAACGAGGCATCCGGATACCACGAGGAGGAAACCACCATCTGTAAGTCAACTCTTCTTACACTTAATGGACTGGCAGAACTCCTCACACAAATAATCACAACGCGAATTCTTCAGGACACTCCATAAGCACCTAAGAACTAATCTGAACTGAACCTTAAACCAAATTATTCGTAATCTCTTAATAAATTTGTAACGTTTACTAATTGTTCTTATATTTGCTCTCTTAGATCGAACATACTTTGTCGTTAGTGAACCATATTCCAGCGATTTCAAAGATCCGGAAAGCATTCAGTTCCAGAACCTGCAAAAACTTATCGACGACAATCTGCGCACTTTCTTCCATAGCAATTACGAAGGTAACGATGATGAGGAGCAGGAAATTCACAGCATTCTAGAGCGAGTCGAGTGAGTCAAACAACATATTCCTATAAAAAAAACCCATTGTTCAAAACAATTTCTAATAATACTTATCCCCCTTAGACCCACACAGGACCATTTTCAAATTCGCGTCCAACTTAGGGTAGAGCTGCCCAGTTCTATCAACGACTTTGGAATTAAGTTAGAGCAGCAGTTGATTACCTACGAGCGGATCCATCAATTGGGCGCCAGCACTGGTGGCGTCTTTTCCTTCACCGAATCGAATGGTAAGTTCTTAAGGATCCATTTCTCATCAGCTTCTCTCTCTTTTCCTGCAATATGCTTTGGTGTGAGATGCCGCTTCTAGAAACCTTTGATATCTTCTTTCCCGCATAAGGGATGCAAACTAGTTATTAGAAAAAAAAAAAGTTAAAAAATTTTAAAATCACCCATAAAGCTTTCTAAAAATAAGCAACGAAAAAGACCGTCTCCATATTTCTCATATTTTATACATATTTTCTTTGGCACAAGCGTTTTTTGTTAAATAAGTTTGCATCTATATTCGTTAATTCAAATCACGGAAATCAACATTTTTTCTTTACCCAAAAACCCCTAAAACAACCCCGGAATATATACCCCCAGAAGATAATGTTGCCAGTAGGCGTTACAAGTTGGTAAGACCGAGACTAACTCCAGTGGATGTGGGTCGTGATGCAAATCCAATAAGAGGACTACAAGGTTTGTCCACCGATCCGCGACAAGCCGAAATTTCGAGATTGCCCTTTTGTGATTAACCTGGCAATTTTCAAACCGCGAAAAAAACTAGTAAACAGCGCTAACATAACCTATGGGTCTGCTCTGGTTTTTATTATCTCATTACTTCTTTGATTTTTAGTTAAGAGGGATTAAAAACTAATAACGTTTTGATATTTTAAACCAGTTTGCTCATATTTTGTAGTACTCTAGTCCTATTGTAGCTATGAAAATCTTTAAAATAAGTTGTTTTGAGGGTGTTTAAAAACAAAATGAACTAGTTTTTTTTAAGCGAGTAAGATGCAAAACCGAATGAAATCCGGAGTGGACCTTTATGTGTGCTTAAGAAGGTGACCTGTGTGTACGTGACATTGTGACCCCTCGACCTCTGTGAATGTCTCTCATCATCGAATCTGTGCCGCTTCATGCCATCCGCTCCACTCTGTCTCCATTCCTGTGATCTCTGTCTCCAATTCTGTTTCTACGTCCTTTGGGAAATTGCCCAGAACTTCAATGTCCCATCACTAATCCACTTTTTGACCTCACAGATTTCTCTGTGGAAGACACCAATGTGGCATTGCCCACGGATGAGGTGGAGGGCTCCGGCAGCGAAGACTCCGGAAGCTGTCGTGGAGATGCCACCTTCAAATGTCGCTTGAGCGGAAAAACCATTTGCGATGAAATGCGATGCGATGGAACGAGCCAATGTCCCGATGGCGAGGACGAGGAAGGCTGCGGTAAATGTCTTAGGAGTTCATTAATAGATCATTCCCAGAGATCTCCACCTTATCATCGATCGTTCTAAATCGTTTAATCCCCACATCTCTGTACTAAAACAACTCGTCTAGGGGGACTCATCTTATAGCTCAATATTTCTTCTGATCGCTAAATAGAGCTGCAAAACAATCGATCAATCTAAGATTGGGGCTTTTATTTTTAAGATATGATAATTAACTCAAGAATTCTCGCGCTCGAATACAAATATCGTAATTTCGATGTTCCTTCTTTTTAAAGCAAAAGTCAATTCGATAATGTTTTTGCAGCTCTATATTTTACCCGACATATTCATCAATTTCGAGAGTACCCGGCCAAATCGTTAGTTCATTTCCATTTTATTTGGCTTTTTCTATTGCTTTGATTTTAATTTTGATTTGTGTTTTGTATTTCCTTTTTAATTTCGCGCCCCTTAGCTTGCAATGAACTTGAGTTCAAATGCGATAACAGGTGTCTGCCGCTCGCAAAACGCTGCGATAGAAATATCGATTGTCAGGATCAGACGGACGAGGCTGGTTGTCCTCGCGAACAGGAGCCTGAACCGGAACCAGAACAGGAACCTGAACCAGAACCAGAGCCTGAACCAGAGCCAGAGCCAGAGCCTGAGCCTGAGCCTGAGCCTGAACCGGAGCCCGAACCAGAACCTGAACCAGAACCTGAACCCGAACCTGAACCTGAACCCGAACCCGAACCAGAACCTGAACCAGATCAAAAACCAGGTAAGTTTTTGGATTCTTTTGCTTCATTTAATTTTCGTTTTTTAAAATTAATTTTATGTTCTGGCTAAAAATGGTTTGTTTCATTTTAAGCGTCTGCAACAGTACAATAAAATGTATTATCTTAGGTAAAGGGCGTAGTCAAGAATTGGTTAGGATTTTTCGGTTTTCAGAAAACCCCTTACCCTGACTACGACCCTGATTTAAATACAATATTTCTGAATATGCATCTGCAAAAACATTTGATGGTTTTATTAGCACTCTACTATGGACGTTTCCTTATTTTTCTTGAAGTCCCTTTGCTCGATTGCATTTCCCCATTTTCGGTGATCTCATTGCTTTAGTGTCTGCGTTCTGTGATCGTTCTGTGGTCCGCTAATTCAAAACTATGCTCTTTGTAATGGCCAAATAAATTCCGCATATTAATTGGCCCGATAAACGAATATTTCCACTGAGTGCCACACATGCCATTCTGTTCATTTTGTTCTGTGCAGTATCTTTTGTATTTTATTTATGGCCATTTGCTCGTTGTTCTGCTCTTTCGACTTGAATTAAGTTTTCCTTCGCAGGCGGTCAATTGGGTTAAATATTTGATTTTCTAATGGATTTCCAATGCAGTGGAATCCATTGGTCCCCGATGAGGCAGCGTCTTTTGGCACATAATCGAATGCTTTCCATAGATTCATTCTGGTTAAATTATAGAAATTTCCGCTTCAATATTTCACTTCTATTTGGGGAAGGGAATTCAGAAATTATATGGAAATCCACCCGATCTTTGCAGAGTTATGCATTTTCGGCATGCCATTCATGAATTTTTCATTTTATTGGGACTGCATTTTGTGCAAGATATCCTAATAGTTTCAGAAAATAGTGTTTTTTGTGGTATATTTCGAAAACCTTCTTTAAAATTGTGGTAAGAAACAGAAACTAATTAAATAGTATTTCAAAAAAAATACATTTGGCATGCTTCACTTTTCCAAATGAATTCCATGCTGCTTTCTCAGCTTCGGACTGCCGAAATGTATTCAAATTTCGCACAATCGTGTCCTCCCATTGACCCTGAACACTTTACATCAACACTTACCACCCCCAATCTGTTTATTATTTTTTTTTATTTTTCTGCTTTCTCCTCATCCAAACTCATGCTGTGCAAATTGCAGTGAGAAAGGAAGCGAATACAAAAAACATAAATGTAAATGGCAGCGGAGACAAAAAGACGAAGCAAGCGTATTCTACCAAAAAGTGAAATTACAAGCCAACTTCCCACCCACATCCATACAGAAACCGCAGTTCTAGCAACCCAAAAAACCAGATTACAATATCCATGAAATATGCCACAAAAGTCGGGGAGCGCAACGAGAGAAAAAATATGTTATATAGATGGTGATTTGGGGTCCGACAGTCCGTGTGTGTGTGTGTGTGTGTGTGTGCCCATAGAGAGTGTAGCTGTTTTTTTTTCTGTGCAATGTGTCGACAGCTAACAGCAAAAACAATTTGCAACAGATTAAAATTACCCCTAAGCGTATTATAAACTTAAATAATCCTCTTGCAGTGCAAGAACAACAGGAACCACCCCGAAATCCTGAGTCCTGAATCCTGACTCCTTATATCCAGCTCGCAGCTACCCAGCTCGCTTTTACTACTTTTGGGGGCGTGTTAAGTGCTGTCAACGAGATTAAATGCAATGCCAGAGGTCGCCACCCACCACACACACCAAGCACCAAAAAACACACACGCACCAAGCATGAAAAAAAAGTTGTGTCCTTGGAAATTTAATGAATTTTCAACACTCCACTCCAGGGCATTCGAAAATAAAAACAGAAAAGGAGCTGAGAAAGTGGAGTAAAATGGGGATGCGCAGGAATTACTTGGGACAGTATTTACAAAGGGTTTTTACCCACAAAATACGGTCCTCATAATATATAATAATACTACATTATATTACTAACCCAACAGTAAAATATTCATTATATTAACTATTCATTTTTCATAAAAAATGAAAGTGAAATTTTTTTTTTCTTTTAACTGATAAACCCAGTTAAGGTCAGTGCTTTGTGTTAATTGACAACCCTTTTAATTGTTTTTCTACTGATAAACAAATATATTTTTTTAATTGAGCTCGAGTTCAAATTCTTGGCCATCGGCCAACAGACCTTGAGTCGGATTCTTCAGCTCGGTTCCATGTTTGCCATTTGGGTTAATGAAGGCAATATTCGTGGATTTTAATGCAGCTATTTGTTTTTTCTACACTCCTCGCATTTTTATGCTTTTTTTGTTGTCATTTGTTGCTGGTATTACACTCGTTGTTGTCATTCTGAAATTCGAAACTTCCGTGGCTTTTCGGATGGTTTCGAAAGTGCGTCAATGGAAGCTGTGCACAGCTTGCACTTGAAGCTTGAATTGTATTTTGTATTTTGGAATTTTGTGCGGCCCTGCTTTTATCATTATGCAATGTAGTTGGGAAATGTAATTACAACCACCCTTTTTGGCCCTCGCCCACTTTGTAATTTGGTATTCAAAGTTGAATTTATGAGCCATATGTGCATAAACATATATTTTTTTGTGCGCTTTTGCGGCTGCATTTGGTTTTTGTTGATTAAATTTGGCAAAGACAACTTGCACTTTTCCCTCCCCTCACTTTTTATATTTTTTCTATTTTTGCGCGCGAGTCAATTAGCGGCTTCAGTTTGCCTGAACTGTGTTAAATGGCTGCAGATTTCAATGTGCTCACCCAACAACCACACAAATTCAAAACAAAAAAAATCAAAAAAGCTCAGCTACGAAAAAAAACAATGCACAAATGGACAAGGAAAGTGGGCAACATCTAGGTGGCCACACATATGCAAATTGAATTTGCCAGCCAACGCTTTTCTTTTCTCGCCAAGCGCCAAAAAGGGCGAAAATTAAGCCAAGAAAGAAGTACACAAACCAACCAGCAAATGCAAAACAAAAGAAGGGGAAGACAAAATATAGAATGGTGCATTTAGGAAATGTGAAAGGAGACCCAAAGATACCCTTTACATAATATAGAGAATTGTAGTATTAATAGTTTTATAGGTGGTAGGTATTTCAATCATACACAAAATATAGAATGGTACATATAGAAAATGGAAAAGGAGACCAAAATATACCCTTTACAAGATATGGAAAGTACTTGTATTACTAGTTCTATAAGAATTTACCATTTAGTTTGAAAGGCATTTCAGTCATATACAAAACATAGAATGGTGCATATAGGAAATGGGAAAGAATATGGAGAATATGGAGAAACAATTGTGTTACTAGTTTTATTAGAATTTATAGTCTTAGCTTGGTAGGTAGGCATTTCAATCATATATACATGTTAAATGCGCATGACTCTTTGCTTTTTGTAATTCTAAGCTTTTCGAAAGGCAAGTTTATTGTTGACAACTTTTTGACATCTGTCCTAAATCATGTTCTATGGGCCATATATTATTCGTTCACTACGTAAAAAAGGTATGCAAATACTGCGGTCAGTTAACCATGTGTCAGTCACATTTTACATAATATATGAAAGTCTGCAATATTAAGTTCCTACTTAGAAAAAATGTTCATTAAGAATTTTTCCTTTTTAAGAATATGAAGATTTTTCCGTCGCAATTTCACTACAATTTGCAACGACCCTTTGGCCTTAGAGACCTGGGAAAAATCTGTTGAAATCATAAAAAAGCATAACAGCAAACAATGCCAACCCCTGCCACGCCCTCCGACCTTCGCCCACCGCCCCCTCGGGGGAGTTGTGCATGTCTGATGAGCTTCGCTTGGGTGTGTGCCTGTGTGTGGGTCTGTGGCTGTGTTTACACGTCTTTTAATGTTATTTTGCAATTCACCTCCTTAAAATATACCTTTCTATATAATTATGAATAAGATATAAAATTCCGTTTCCTATCTATTTATTTCATTTGTACATTTCATAGCGCAAACTTAAGTACCCCAATTGATATGAGTTATTTAATTGCAGATACGAAATTAGCGCCCCATTTGGGTATTAATGGGTCTTGCAATATTATTTCCATCGAAACATTTTAATTCGAAACTAAGGCATGCGTATAAACGAAAAGTGTGTTGCAAAGAAAAAGTGAAAAGCTTGGCGCGTCGGTGTTGTTTCCTATTGCTGCTGCTTCTTTTGTTTAATAGGCAATATAAAATGCTAAAAATAGTGCATACAAAAAAGGATATAATATTTATTAAAAAGAAAAGGTTAAGAGTTGGCAACATATATGTATGCCAAAAATTCTGTTTAATTTGAGACTTTGGCGCAAGCGCAGCATATTGTAGTTTTTCAATTTGCCAGCCAACCTGGCAACATGTTGCAAACACTGGGTTGGCTTTTAAGTTGATTGATATTTAAATAATTGTAATAAATATTGAACTTTTATTTTTTTGGTGTACTTGGGACCCCAAAACTGCACTTCCAGATTCCATTACTTGGGTTATTGGATCCCGATTTTGAAGTGGGACACCTCTATGAGTTTGTGGTTGAATTTTCTAATGATCTACGTTAAAATATTACCTTTAAAGGAGGTTCAAAAATTTAGCCTGTTTTCATGTTACTTTTTCCGTATTTCTAATGGGTCTCAGTATGGAACCCCAAAACTGAACTTCTAGAGTCCATAACTTGAGTTATTGGATCCCGATTTTGACGCGGGATACCTCTTTGTGTTTGTGGTTCAATTCTCTAAGGATCCACATTAAAATATTACCTTTAAGGGGAGGGTCAAAATTTTAGCCTGTTTCATGTTACTTTTTTCAGTATTCATAATGGGTCTCAATATGGGACCCCAAAACTGCACTTCCAGATCCCATAACTTGGGTTATTGGATCCCGATTTTGAAGTGGGATGCCTCTATAAGTTTGTGGATGAATTCTCTAACGAACTACATTAAAATATTACCTTTAAACAAGGGTCTAAATTTTAGCCTGTTTTCATGTTACTTTTTTCCGTATTTCTAATGGGTCTCAGTATGGGACCCCGAAATTGC